TGGGTCTCAGATCTGGACATGTCCCGTGCACCAGCCACCTCGCCTCCCTAACCTGACCAAATGCTTGGGGAATGGTGGGGTGGGGCACCCTGACTGGGTCACCCTGACTGGGTCGGCTGGGAAGCGGGGGCACCGGAGTCAGGTTTGGCTGAGCAGGTCACCTCTGTCCTGCAGGGAATGTAACCGGCGGCAGAAGGTCATCCCGGTGGTGAACAGCTTCTACGCGGCCACTTTCCTTCACCTGGCGAGGGAGTGGAGGACCCAGCAGAGGACCATCTCAGACTCGGGCTTTGTCCTCAAAGGTGCGCACTTTCTCCTGTGGAGTACTGCGTTTCCCTCCACTCTCCTACCCCCCACTTCTCCTCCCCTCTCCTCCCCTCCCCTCCCCCAGAACCCCTGGGGCCTGCTGTCTCTCCCTTCTCTGCCGCCATGCCCATCCCGTCTGTCTGTCCATGCACTTCTGTCCCTTGCCTGTTACTTGTTTGCGTGTCTGAGCAGGGTCTCGCTACAAGGCCCTGGCCGACCTGGAACTCGCTGCGTAGACCAGAATGGCCTTGAATTTATGGCAGTCCATCTGCCTCTGCTTCCTGACTGCAAAGATTACAGGCGTCCAGCCTGCTCTTCAGAGGGAGTTCCGGGACCGTAGTCCTAGACTCAGAGAAACCCTGTCTCAAAGAAGAAAAAAAAAAGATTACGGTGTGCTTGGTGGGCCGGCCGTATATGTCTGATGACTGGTTGTTGTTGTTATTTTTGTTTAGATTTTTGAGATAGTCTCACACTGTAGCCAGGCTACAGTCCTCCTGCTCCATTCCCCTGTGTTGGGATTACAGTCTTGACCATTCGTGGTTCTTTAGCCAGGCTACAGTCCTCCTGCTCCATTCCCCTGTGTTGGGATTACAGTCTTGACCATTCGTGGTTCTTTACCATCACATCAAACAACAACAACAACAACCCACATCTTCTGAACCAAAAATTTAAAGCTCAACAGGCAGTTCTCTGTGAGGTCAAGGCCAGCCTGGTCTGCATGTGAGTTTCAGGCAAGCCAGAGCTACATAGTAACAAACAACAAAACAGGACGGACAAAATGGCTCAGTGGTTAGAGGGCCTACTGCTCTTGCAGAGAACCCACTTGGTTCCCAGCACCCACACTGGGCAGCTCACCTCTGCCTGTAACTCCAGCTCCAGAGAGATACCGTTCCTCTGACCTCTGAGGCACACTCACGTGCACATATACACACTCAGACTTATATGCATATTTTGAAAAATAATAAGTCTTGAAAACACACAGTCAGTAAAAGTTGGGGCTGGGATGTGGTGCTGTTGTTAAAGCTCCTGCCTGGCATGCGGGAGCCCTGGGTTCAATTCCCGGAGCCGCACAAGCTGTGTGGTGGTTCAAGCCTGTAATCTCGGCACTTTATAGGTGGAGATAGGAAGATAAGAAGTTCCAGGTCTACAGGAGACCTGTCTCAAACGGAACAGAACAAAACAAAAAAACGTGAAAGCTAGGGCTGGAGAGATGGTTCAGCGCTTGAGAGAGAGCACTGGATGCTCCTCCACAGGACTGGCCTCTAACCCAGCACCCACATGGGGCTCACAACTCCAGATCCAGGGGATCTGGCGCCCTCTTCTGACCTCCTCAGGCATCAAGCACACGTGGTACACAGACATACATTCAAGTAAAACTCCATACATATAAAATAAAATAAAAAATTTTAAACTACAGCATGTGAGGTCTAGCAGTTAGCTCGATTCTCCAGAGTTGAGATCTCTGTCACAAGGAAGAAGCGGTCCCTGGGCTCTGTCAGGTTTTGCCATCTTTGATGACTGTTTTACTCCTGTCTCTAAAGGACAGGGTTGGACGTGTTCACAGGGCCATTGGACTTGAGGCCCTGTGTCCCCCAGGTCCCCTCAGCCCTCAGTTCCCAATCTCCTCTGTTCCAGACTTGGAAGTATTGGCCAAGAAGAGCCCCAAACGGCTGCTCAAGACTCTGGACGCCTACCTAGCCCGGGTGTCAAAGGGACAGGCCTCCTTGTTGGGGGCACCGAAGTGCTCTGGATCACAAGGGCCTCACTCCAAGGATCTCACCTTCACAGGCGTGTGTGACCTGCAGTCTCACTCACTGGAGAGTGCAGGCTTGATCTGACCCACCCCGGGGACCATTCCTAGAAAGGCCAGCCGGGTCGCTGGAGCATTCAGAACCCAAGAGCCGTGTCTGGACCAAAGCCCTTCCTGCCTCTGCGGGTGAGATTAGGAAGCTCCCACGTGGGCGTAGTGAAGCCCATTCAGGCAGCTAGAATTTACCTCCTTGCCGCTTTTGAAGCAAGGAGAGTTTTCTGTCGTTCCCCGCTGGGCTCCAGTTCACAAGGTTAGGCTCCCAATACCTCAGTGGAAGTAAACAGACCACAAAGTAGGAGAGCGGCGTCTGAACAGTCTACCCATCCGCACCTAGAGGAAGAGTTCTGGAAGCTGCTGACAACCCAGCAGCTGCCCGCAGAGTCTGAGGTTGGAATTGGAGAGGCAGAGGCAACAATACCTTCGGCCAGCAGGGGGCAGCACAGCACAGTTAAAAGCGATTGACTGATGGCCAGGCCTCTCCTTCAACCACCTCGATTTTCAGGACACTTATTTCCACCTTTCTCCTCCTACCCCTAGCTCCTTGCCCACCATGATTTGTGATCTGGAAATGGGCACTCGGCTAGCTAGACTAGTTATCGTGGCGCCCGATCCCCACCGCCCACAGGCTGGGGGCTCCTAGGGAGACCACGCACCAGGTTAACTGGTTATCTGGCCTGGCTGAGAGGCGCTGGGAACTCGCTCACCCACCAGCAGTTTTAGAATAAAGGAATTGTTGTAGTCCCTAGTGTTTTCTTCCAAGACAGTTCAGGGCCTTCCTGCGCCCCGTTGTCTGGGCACCAGATTGAGCTGGGCAGGTTAGCGCCTAGGGTGCAAGTGGGGCTGCAGACGCCTCAGAGCCCCCGATGGAGAGGCTTCCTGCGCCCGGGCTCCCTGCCGCCTCAGTTCCCCTGGCTGCACCTGCAGGCCCGGGGACGTCGTATTTATTATTGTTTGTGTGTATGATATGGGATGTGGGGCACACACGACATGACGTGGGCATCAGAAGACAGCTTTGTGAAGTTCTCTTTCTCCACCTTTAGGTTCTGGAGATTAGTTGTCTGGCTTTTGTGGCAAGCTCCTTACCCATCTGGCCCAGCCAGGCCAGGAGACGCCTGGCAAGCTCTAGCCAGTGAGCACCGTGGCTCTTGTTAGAGTTGACTAGTGTGGTGTCCACCCCAGGCTGTTCCTGCATTTGCTTCAGGGCCTGGCTGTTCTCCCTCGCCCCAGCCCTCACCTAACACCCTAAAACCTAAGGCTCCCTGCGCGCCTCTGGCTTCCCGCAAGTGAAGCTGTAGAAGCTGCCCATCTCTGCTTGTGTTTCAGGCCACTCCAAATCTGGCCCAGAGATGGCACCAACAGAGGCTTCCCAGTGTGCTATATGCCCTGCAGTTGGCCCTGTCGGATTTACAGGGTCTCAGAATGTTTGTTACCAGACCTCTTCCTCCCGCAGACAGGTCACAGAGGTTACGGGGCTGGGAGAGGTCAGTCTGGGTGCTTCCTTCCTTCCTGGCCGCTTCCCTTGCTCTGAGCCTGCAAGGCTGACTCGGCAGCATCCACTGGAAACACGGGATCCCAGCATGTCAGGCCACATGGGCCCTAGGAGGGTCTGGCTGGAAGGGAGCCAGCACCCCCAGCAGGGAGGGGCACTTCATCCAGACCAGGGTGTGCACAGCTCCAGGATAACTCAGGAATCTGTTCTGGTGGGGTGGAGGTGGAGAGAGGAGGCCTCTGAGAGCTGGGAGCTGCATTTTTCTTGGAGGTAGGGAGTCTCCATAAATCTAAAACGGGCGGAATCACTGGGTGTGTCTTCCTCTCTCCTGGCATGTGCTCCTCTGTGGAAGTCTCAGGGAAAACTGAGGGGAGGGTCCACAGAGGAGTCACCTTCCTTTGCTTCTTGGCACAACACCAAAAAGATGAACTTGTCAGACTTTCTGGCTTTGTGTGGGACAGAAGAATCAGTGTGTCACAGCTCAGAAGCCGCAATAACCCTTAGGACACAGGACGGGTGGCTCGGGGTGGCTGCCTCTAGGCCTCTCAGCCTCTGGTCCAGGCTCACCAAGACACCACCCTCTTGCTACGCCTTCAGGGTGGGGGCCTCTTTGTGACACGCTCCTTCACGCTCTCTAGCTTGTTTTGAGATAGGGTCTCATAGAGCCTAGGTTGACCTTGAACTCACTATGTAGCAAAGGCTAAACTCATGATCCTCCTGCCTCTACCTCCTAAGTGTGTCAGGATTACAGGCTTGTACCTCCGTACCTGGCTCAGGTTCTCTCTTCTCCCCAGCACACGCTCTCTGCCCTCCTCAATATTCCATACTGTGTCATTAACAAGAAATAGAACCAGGCCTGTGACCAGGGAGAACACCAGTTATCAGAAGCAGGGCCTCACACACACACACACACACACACACACACACACACCACTGGTCCTGGGCTGATGAGCCAAACACGAAACCCAGTGCAGTAAGAGAGAACAGGGGGCCTACTCAAGGGCTGTGGCACATTCTGTTGCTGGGTGAGTGTAATCATTTAAAACGGCCTCCTGGGTGCTTACTGGGGCAGCTGAGGAAATACTGGTTTGAACAGAAATCTAGCCCCAGCCCCAGCCCCAGCCTTCTCCCGGCTGGGAATGTGAGACTTGAACGAAACCCTGGCCTGAAAGCAATGCCAAGGCCTGGCACTGTGCCACCTCCCTATTGGGTTCTGGGCATGGTGGGGGTTGGATAGCGGCTCCACTGGGAGTCCTGGCCATGCAGAGCCAGTGCTGGGCTCCTGGAAGCCATGGAATTATCATGTGTTCTGCTCAACCCCCAGAATGGGGATGAGCCCAAGTGAGTAGGTGGGACAAAGTCAGCCCAGGGCGAGCGCCCTGGGAGAGAGCTGGGAACGGGAATGTGTCACTTTTATTGAGCATCCAGAGGGCACCTCTGTGCTGACTCAGCAAGCCGGGAACAAGCAGGCAGGTGGTGGCAGGCAGGAGAGCAGGGCCGGGCACACCCACCCTCACTTCCAGTCCTTGAAGAATTGCTTGAAGATGGGACTCTCTCGGCCCTGGGGCAGAATCTCCACCTGCAGTGGGAGAAAAGCTTGGCTCACGGGCTGCCCACCTCTGCTGCTGAGGAGGAGGACAAGGGATACCCTGACGGGTCGGCAGAGTTGGGTAGGACGTAACCAAAGCAAATGTCAGCTGTGCCTTGGCAGCCATGTCCCTGAGAGAATGTTCCTTTCCAGTTAAATCTTGTCATGGCCCTACAGTTAGGTTGTCTCGCTACGTCAGGGCCTGAGGTGCAAGGGCATGTCATCGACCGAAAGGCTTGCATCTTCAAGTGACACATGATCACTAATATCACCTGAACTGTGGTTTTCGATAGCCCCCCACACATATACACACTTTTGTGGGGTTTTCTAGAGGATTATGGGAAGAAATACTCTAAAGGGATATCTGGTCCGTCGTGATTTAGGAGGGAAAAGGACCACTTTATCCCATGAATATACCACCCACCTCACAAATATTCATAAAATTGTTTTCAGTATCCACAATGCAGAACCCAGGGGCAGCTCCCCACCATGGGGACAGGGCACTCCAGTCTCTTTGGACTGTTTCTTTGTGTGAATTTGCTGAATAAACTTTAGCTCAGACTGCCTGTCTTTTGACTAAATTCTTTCATTCAAGAAGACAAAGGCCCTGTAACACCAGGCGAGAGAGAGACCGCCAACACTCTAAGCCAGTCCTGAGAAGACGAAGGTTACAAGGTCACAGGACACAGGCTGAGGGAACGCTCCTTCAAGGACTGGGGCACTCAGTTAGGCAGATGCCACCAGTTAGACATCAGCTGTACCAGAATTTCTATGTCAGAACTTCTGAGCAGGGCACGGTGACTCACACCTGTCATCTCAGCACGTGAGAGGCTGAGGCAGGAGAATTGCTGTGATTTCAGGCCAGCTGGGGATACACAGTGAGTTCTAAGCCAATCTGAGCAACAGAGTGAGACACTGTCCCGAAAGGGGGAAGAGAGAGCTGAGGATCAAGCCCAACTGGTACAGGGCATGCTAGCCACACACAAAGCCCTGGGTTCAATTCCCAGCACCACTTAAACCAGGTGTGACCCACACCTATAATCCTAGAAACTGGGAAGTAGAGGCCAGAAAATGAGAAGTTCAAGGTCATCCTTAGCTACATAGACAGTCTGAGGCCAGCCTGGGCTACATGAGACCCATATGGAGAGAGACAAGATGAGAATATCTTGTGTAGCCACTGTGCTGGGACTAAAAGGGGTACCAGTGGCTGCGGACAGACACAGCCCCCCAGTGACATGCCCTGTCCCTCAGGCTCCCAGGATTCTCTTTGAAAATAAGTTTGGAGTTTTTGTTGTTGTTTTTAATGCTGAAGGACTGAAAAGGCTTTTCCACCTAACTGGTCTGAGGCAGGCAAGTCTGCTCCCAACTCCTGAGCTGCCCTGTTCTCATCCGGTCTCGGGGTAGGGAGCCACAGGAAGGTGCCAGGAGGAGGTGGGGGACATGGTTTTGTCCTCACCTGAGTGTTTGGGGAATATCTCATCCGAGAGATGAAGCCATCGGCCACTTGGAGGGCTGCCTGCCTCTCCTTCTCATTAGCTTTTCGCCCTGGAACATAGGAACAAGATTTCAGCAGGAGAAGAGGATGGGGTGCAGCCACGGGAGAGGGCTCGCCCTCCCAGCGTGTGTGAAGCTCCGCCTTCTGTCCCCAACACCACAGAAGACCACTTGTAAGCCCTGCACTGGGGAAGTGGAGGCAGGAGGCTCCGAACCGTCTTCATGTCTTCAGCTACATAGGGAGTTCACAGTCATCCTGGGCTGCGTGGGACACTGGAAGGGGCAGAGAGTCTCCAGTCTCTACCCCATTTTCCTGAGGAAATTTTAGGGGTCCACAGAATGCCTGACAGTATTGGTTTTGTTTTTTTTTTAAACAAATGTACTCAGCATACCCAAGAATACTGAGGGCCCCTTAGAGTATGAAGTCATGCCCTTAATTCTTTTTCCAGAAAGCTGGCAGCTCTAAGCTAAGATTTAATTAATTAATTGATTAATTAATTAATCAATTAATTAAAGCTTCTGCCTGGATCAGCAGAATCTTTTGGCCCTGACCAAGCCATCTTTTAGGAAGAAAAAGCTTCCTCCTAGACATCACACTGTAAGGCCAGTGGGCCGGGGCAATGGCTCGGCAGTTAAGAGCACTTGGTTCTCTTGCAGAGGACCTGAGTTCAATTCCCAGCATCCACTTGGCACTCACAACCACCTGTAATTCCAGTTCCAGGGGATCCAATGCTGCCTTCTGGCTTCTGAGGACACTGCACACACATGATTCTCAGACATACATGTAAGAAAAAGACACACAAAATACAAAAGAAACTCTGTGGCCAGGGCCTCACCCTTCCCCGGAGCCCCTCACCTCCTGTGTGAGTACAGTGTTACAGGTAACACCATTCTGTTATCAAAACTTTTTTTTGTGAAACTAAATAGGATGCAGAGTAAAATTTCTTACAGAGGCAAACGGACTCCCACAAGGTCAAAAGCCAACATGCTTGCTGATGAAGTGTTTAAAAGACTGAAGATCACCCAGAATCCACAATATAGACAATGTAGGCAATCATTTATGTAGGCCTTTATGTTGGCAATCACTGGGACACAAACTGTGATTCAAGCTGAAGGCATTTTGACATGGAAACAGAGCCAAGCGTGGTGGTTGGCTCTCCGGCCGATATTAAAATCTTGTGAACTATGGAGTGTCTGTGTCCTTCCTCTGTAACTGACTCACTGTTCTGGCATCCATGGGCACTTGTCTCCCACCTCCCAAGCTTCCTGCCCCACGACTTCTTTTCCTATAATGATTCCTTTCTTGGGGACTACAGACTCTGGAGTCTCAGCATTGACTCTATGGTATATGGCGCCTCTGCAGGAAGGAAAAGACAGCCCCAGGGCAAGAGATGTAGCTCAGTCTGTAGACTATTTACCCAGCATGCCCTGGTTCTAACCCCAGCACCAGAGAAAATCAGGCATGGTAGTGCATGCCTGTAATCCCAGCACTCGGGAGATGGAGGCATGAGGATCAGGAGTTCAAGGTCATCCTTGGCTACATAACAAGTCAGAGGCCAGCCTGGGCTATATGAGACCTTATCTCAAAAAAGAAAGGGAAAGGGCTGGAAAGGCTCAGTGGTTAAGAGCACTTGCTACTTTTGCAAAGGACCAGAGTTCAGTTCCCAGCACCCATATCAGGAGGCTCATAACTGTTCTTAACTTCAGCTCCAAGGGATCTGATGCCCTCTGGCCCCCTTGGGTACCCATAGGCATGTGGCAACGGGGGTCGGGGGGAGGGAAGGAGAGGAGAGGAAGAGAAAACAAGAAAGAAAGAAGGAAAGCCAGGCAGCCGTGGCACACACAAAAGCAAGCAACCTTTCTCTCTCCAGCAGACACAATCTCTTGACAAAGCACGGCCCACAAGTTTACCACACACGACATAAAGTGCTACTAAGCCCATCTAAGATTTACCTCAAAGTCAGGCACCCCAGAGCCCTGAAGGCCTGGAGACTGCCGAGAGAGTTCTCAAAGTGTGGTCCCTGGAGCCCCACAGGCCTGCCCTGGGAACATGTTAAACACATACACGCTCAGGCTCCAACCTGGACCTGGTCAGTCTGACTCTCTGGGATGGACCCAGCAAAGTACTGAAGAGGCCCCTGGAGTTCCGAGGCCGGCTGAGATTTTCAAAATGGCTGAGCTTGCTGGCTTCAGGGCCCCCATGGCAGCTGCAGGGCCCCCAGGCTCACACCGAGGAGCACATACCCTTCCAGATGTAGATTTTGCCACAGAGCCCATTGTCCAGAACAAAGCAGTCATCTGGAATCAGCAGTGCAGAGGCAAAGGGGCTGGAATCGGCTACCTTGGTCAGGTTCATCTGTCCAGTGGCATCAGAGACCTGGGGAGGAAGGACAGCCGCCAGTGTCACACACACACACACACACACACACACACACACACACACACACACACACTCACACACTCACACTGGCCCTCACTGTGAATGAAGTTACCCAGTTGCCTCTCCCAACAGTTCCAAGAAGCAGGTGGGAAGAGGGCTCCCCAAAGGCTAACTTCAGACAGCCTCTCTCTTGTCTGTCAGATGCAGTTCAGAAGCCACGGCTCCCTTAGGGAAAGAGGTGACCTCACATTACAACTAACTGCCCAGGGTTCAAACCAAGGCACGCTTAGCATTAGCTTTCAACCTTCACCAATGGGCCGGCCGGAAGTGAATACCATTTACCTCCTCAGAGGGCTGCCCATCTGCCTGCTTCCCACCCATCTCTCCTCCAACCCCTACAAACCTACCTGATTCCCGGCCCAGCCTTCCCACAGCCGCCTCCTCCCTTCAGCTCCATGGCCTTGACAGCGGCAGATGCCTAGTTGGTCCCCAGCAGGCCTGAAGTGCCCACCTTATACAGGGCCGCAGCCTGGGCGTTGGTCTGGTCAGCTGTGAGGTCTTCCTCAGGGTTACCCTCCTTCAGAGCAGGCTTGGGGCCCAGAACCTGCGGAGCCAGACAGGATTACTGGGGCTTCTGCACCCGAATTTTCCAAATCACCACGTCCAGGGCCACCTGTGTCCTTCACTAAGCTAAGACTTGGTAAAGTGATGGGTCCAGCCCACCCACCAGACAGTCTCTGGCCCCAAGGCTGTACCCACTCAGAGGAACCCCTTATCCCCATCACACAAAGGTACCCCATGAGCCATCACAGGGCTGAGTAGGGCCCCAGATAGCCCCTGTCAGCCTCTATCAGCCACCTTCATAATCCCGGCTCATCACTGTCTCTCTTGGCTGCATCTCCCCGCTGCCCACCCCAGTGTCCCCGACCTGAATCATCTCGGCTGGCTCCTCTCCATCGGTGATAATCTCCACCTGGGCCTTGCCCTGCCGCTCGCTGTCCCTGATGGCCAGGGCCAAGTCCCTCGCCTTGTTCCGTTCCAGGATGTTGGACTTTCCACCGCACCAGGTGAAGATGTTCTGCAGGGAATCAGACAGGCCCATCACAGCCGGTTGCCTGTGTCATACCCCCACTGAAAAACTGTCCCCACAGGCAGGGCAAGCAAGAAGGCAGTGCCAGTGTGCATATATCCATGCAGGCAAAACACTCATACAGACAAAATAAATCTAAAAGAAAAATTATCTTTTTTTGTTTTTCTCAGACAGGGTCTCTCTGTGTAGCCCTGGCTATCCTAGAACTTTATTGTAGACCAGGCTAGGCTCTAACTTGGAGATCCTCCCACCTCTGCCTCTCAGGTGTTGGGATTAAAAGCATGCACCACACTGCCCAGCTTTCAAAGAAAAAAAAAATTTTAAAGAGTGCTTCTTGCCCGTATGCCATCTCCACATCACTTATCATCATATATTTAAGCTTTTTTTTTTTTAATCTTGTGTATAAATTATCTCCTGGAGCTGGAGAGATGGCTCAGTGGCCAAGAGTGTGTGTATATGTGTGTGTGTATATATATATTCTCCTCCAGGGGACCTGTATTCTAAGCACCCACAATGGGCAGCTCACAACTGCCTGTAACTCCAACTCCAACCCCCTCTCCTGGCCTCTGCTGGTATCTACAGTCTCTTATACATGCCCCCCACACAGACACAGACATAATTTTTTTAAAAATGTAATCAAATTACAAAAAAAATTCAAAAAAAACCATAAACCTGTTTGAAGACAGTTTAAAGCTTTCTGTTGAGCCCCATTTATATACCATGGACTACATGCGGCCAATGGCCATCGATTGGACATGCCTGGAACCGGAGGGGAGGAAACATGTGAGTTATGTACAGGTACTGTATTTATGAGGTTGGAGCATCTGAGGACAGTAGAGCCTGTGTGCTGCTGGGAAATAATCCGTATAGGTCCCTAAGGGCTGGCTGGCTGGATGTCTTCTCACGGATGGAACACTTCACCAGAACACGGGGTCTACCTTCTCACTCCTCCATCTCCCCGGCCTCCCAGCCTGTCTTAAAGCACGGTGCTGGCACACTGCGCAGTCTCAGCCACCTACCCACCTGACCCAGGTCCAGGATGAAGCAGTCCCCAGTGTTGAAGCTGTCCCAGCTCAGCGCCCTCTCGGTGGCACGGATGTTCTTCTTCCCCTTGACCTGGTAGAGCTTTTTGATGGCTGCTGGGGTGGCCCCCGAGGTTGTCTTGTGAAATGCCGACTCCACACCACCTTCCTGCAGCCCAGAAAACCGGCCTGAGTGGCCCCATAGGCACCCAGAGCCTTCCGCACTCCATCGCACTAGGAGATGAAGGGAGGTGGAAACCGATCCCCGAGGGCGCCCAGGCCTTGAGAAGGATAAGAACAGCCAGAAACAGGAACTGATTCCAAGAAAAGCCCTGGGAATGAGGGCCTGGAGGTGGTTCTCACCTGGTACTTGAGGCCACGTGGGAAGTAGCTCATGAAGAGGTCGGACTCATTCCCTTGAACCTCACGGTGCTGCACGGGCCGCTCCCCCAGCAGAGTGTTGAGGTGCACGGCCAGCACGGCACAGGCCCCCTGCTCGTCCCGGGATGATTGTTGGCCTAGGATGAATGTGGGGTGACAGGCAAGGTCCCTGAGACCCACTGCAACCTCCATCCCTCGCCGTGGCCAAACCCGCGCAGACACCATTCCAACCCCTTTACCTATCCACAGGTGCAAATGGGAGGCCTCTTCCGGGCCATTGTGAAGCACCAGGTAGGAATCCCCAGAGAAGAAGATGCCATGGTTCTCTCGTGCTATGGGCACCGGCTTCAGCTTCTCCACACGCCAGATGTGTAGACCTGGGTCTTGGACCGAGGCTGGGAATGGAGAGCCACTGTGGGAAGAGATGGTTGGTAGTGGACTCCGTGGGGAGGGGGCTCGAGCACAGAGACTTGGGCAGGCCTGGAGACTGAGGTCTGGGTACAGTGAGAGCAGTGAGTGAGGAGCAGCCCTGGGAAGTGAGGAAGGAAGAGAGAAAAGACGGTGGGGAGCACTACCTACCTCTGAGGGATGGGTGTGTACATGCTGTTTGCAGACCTGAAAAGAGAAGCCATGATTACCACAAGGGTCACAACAACCAGCTCTCTCACTGGTCCGGGGGAGCCTTCCAGTCAACCAAGTATTCTCCCTTTGGATTTTGGAATGTGCAGTCTTAGGTAGCCTGGGTTGTCCTCACAGCCCGCAAGTAGCTGAGGATGACCTGGGGCTGAGGTGATGCTCGATGGCTAAAGCCTTGCATGGCAGGTGTGAGGAGCAGAGTTCGAGTCCTCAGAATCCACATAAATGTTGGGTGGGCTGTCCGCTTGCAATTCTAGCCTCAGAGGACAGAGACAGAGGATCCCCAAAGCAACCTGAAGAGCAAAACTAGCCACATCGGCAAGCTCTGGGTTTGATTAAGAGATCCTGCCTCAATGAATAAGACGAGGAATGACGTTGGAAGAGCCCTGACATCGACCCTGGGCCTCCACATGCATATCCACACACACGCTATTGGACCTACACACACGTGCAAACGTGCACAAGCAACACACACACACAAATAGAAAAAGAAAATATTTACAAAATAAAATTTTTTTAATTAAAAAATACAAAACTTAGTGACCAAATGATGTTTATGTTGTGGATGTAAAGTTAGTCCAACATTCGAACTTAACCAATATAATACACCTCATTAACAAATATATGTGATTAATATATATTTAATATATCCATATGGATATTTATGTCAATACAATATACCCCATTAACAAGTATATATGATATTAATATATTCATATGGATATTTGTATCAATATAATATACCACATTAACAAGTATATGTGATATTAGTGTATCCTTATGGATATTCATATCAATGTGTATACAGAAAGTGCTTAGCAAAACTTTACATCCATTCGTGATTTAGAATAAACAAACAAAATAATAAGCCAGCTGGTGCTGCAGAGATGGCCCGGCGATTAAGACCTCTTGTTACTCTTGCAGAGGACCTGAGTTCAGTTCCCAGCAGCCAACAACCATCCAGGCTCCACTTCTGGGAGCTAAACACCCCCTTCTGGCCTCCAGAGGTACTACATGCTCATGGTGCACACACGTACATGCAGGCAAAACTACCCATACACATTAAAATAAAAATAAATACATCTTTTTAAAAGTAAGCCAAACATGCTAGCTCAGGCTTGCAATCTCAGCACATGGGAGACCAGGCCAGGGGAATCATGAGTTTTAGGCCAGCCTGGCCTGCACAAGGAGACCCTGCCTCAAAAACTAAAAGAAAAAAAGAGAAAGAAAAGGAAATGCCTACTATGACAGCAGACACAACTGTAATCCCAGCAATGGGAAGGGGCAGGCAGAAAGTTCAGACACTCAGGGACGTTCTGGTTCCAGGCTAGCCTGGGCTATGTGAAACTGTCTTAAAACAACAACAGAAAATGCCTGGTGTGACAGTGCACACCAGCCAAACCGACATTCCAGAAGCAGGAGAGTCAGAAGTTCAAGGCCATCCTTGGCTACCTAGTGAATTCAAAGCCAACCTGGGCTACAAGATACCACGTGGAAAAAGAAAAAGGAAGAAAGGAAGGGAAAAAACAAGGGGCCTGTGACACAGTGTGCTGTGTGATGTTTTGTTTGTGTTCTGACAAATAAAGCTTGCCTGGAGATCAGAGGACGGAGCTAGCCACTAGTTAGCCTTGGAGGCCAGGCGGTGGTGGCACACACCTTTAATCCCAGCACTTGGGAGGATGAAGCGGGAAGGTCAGGAGTTCAAGGCTGCCCTGGGCTACATGAGATTGAACCAGTCTAAAGGAGAAACAGAGCCGGGGGTGGTGGTGCACGTCTTTAATCCCAGCACTAGGGAGGTAGAGACAGGAATATAAAGCAGGTGGAGACAGGGTCTCGGCTCACTTGACACAGGATCCCCCATTCAATCTGAGATTTCGTAGAGGTAAGAAGTCCAGTGGCTGCTGCTCTGCTTCTCTGATTTTTCAGCTTTCACCCTCGATATCTGACCCCTCGTTTTTATATTTAAGAATAATTAGGATCGTGCTTCAACAGCTAGGTGGGTAAAAGTACCTATGACACAGCCCGGTGGGTAAAGGTGCCCGGTCACAGCCCAGTGGGTAAGGCGCTGGTGCACAAGTCTGATGAACTGAGTTTGATCTCAGAACCCAAGTGAAGGCGGAGGAGGAAACAGACGGCCAGAGGCTGCCCTCTGACCTCCATGTTTACACCGTGCACAAATGTATACAGACTCAGACCAACAACGACTGTATTTGTTAATCTAATATCTAAAGAAATAGAGAAGCAACAGAGAAAGGACTGGAGATGTGGCTTCATTGGCAGAGTACTTGCCTAGCATGCATGAAGTCCTGGGTTCAAATCCCCAGCAGTTTATAAACTGGGCATGATACAGTTTATAAACTGTAACCCCAGCACTGGAGGGAGGGTGGAGGCAAGAGTTCAAGATCATCCTCAAAGTATTTGAGGTCAGCTTGGGATCCATGGGACCCTGTGAGAAAGGAGAGAGATCTGGGCGAGGTGGAACAGCTTTAATCCCAGCACTCGGAAGCAGAGGCAGGTGGATCTCCGTAAATCCAAGGCCAGCCTGGTCTACATAGTGGGTTCCAAGCCAGCCAGGGAGAAGGAGAGAGAAGGGGGGGAGGGGGAGGTCCTTAAGCAGAGTTTTTACTCTTTAAATCTACTAAAAACAAAACCTTCTTGGGACTTTATCCCTCCTAGGCAATTCTCTTCCAGGAGAACTGTACTCATCCTCAGCGTTAGCTACCCTTCTATGTTCCCAGAATCTTCCAGTTCCAGAGTGATGAACACCATCTTTGTTTGGTAAGTCAGTGGAGGAAATATTTCTTGGACAAAAGAAATTGTAGTATAGGGAGAATGCAAAAGGCAAGCTGTTGTTATTGTTGTTAATATACCCCATATTTTTTTAATTTCAGAAAAATACAGTCATAACAACTTCACCCGCCCTTTTATTTCTTTCCGTCAGTGGCTGGTGTCTTTTTTGACCTCCACATATATACTGTGGCACATGCACATGTGTGCTCGAGTGTACATGTACACACACTAAGTAAGTAAATAAGTGTGACAAAAGAATTGGCTTTCCCTTCCGCCATGTGAGTTCTGGGGATCAAACTCAGGCCGTCAGCCCTGGCAGCAAGTGCTCCCTACCCACAGAGCTACATCTCAGGCAGTCAGCCCTGGCAGCAAGTGCTCCCTACCCACAGAGCCACGTCTCAGGCAGTCAGCCCTGGCAGCAGGTGCTCCCTACCCACTGAGCCACGTCTCAGGCCTAAGGTTTTCTGTTTGCTTGCTTGTTTGTTTGTTTGTTTTAAGGCTTTTAAAAGAAGAGAGCATATGTCACCAGCACTTAATTCAGTGCATGCTTCCACCTGGTGAGCTGTTGGAAGAGGTACCCTGTGGGACACGGAGGGCGAGGGTAGCAAGCAGGCCCTGCAGCCTAGAGTTGCAGGAGGGCGAAGGAGACTCTCTGAAGGGTGGCTGGGTCAGCGGTGAGGGTTGAGTCTGCTCAGGAAGCAGAGCTGTGGTGAGACATGTGAATTGCCAGCCGAGTTACCACTGTCCTTTTTCATTACCAACCTCCCAAACAGAGGAAGGCATTTTTTTCACCGTGACACTTCCCCCATACTCCATGGGGTGTGACCACATCCCCTGCTGTGGGCAGCCCAGCCTGTGAGTCAGTAGGAACTAATGCGTCTGCCCCAAACCCAAGCTCAGGAATAAGCTAGGCTGAGCCCACAACATCATTGCTTTTAGTTCTGTGTTACCAAAATGAGAAACTGGGCCGTAACTCAATCAAGTGCCCTCCACTCCAAGTCACTGCCGGGTTCTGATGAGGGGGTCGGTTCGGCTGTCTGCTCCTTCACGATCCTAGAGGTTCATTACAACTACCTCCTCAGGACTGGCAGGATGGCTCAGTGGTAAAGGTGCTTGCTGACAAGTCTAACGTCTTTAGTTCCATCCGCAGGAACCACAGGATGGAGGAGGGCAGCAGCTTCCTAGAGTTGTCCTCTGACCTCTGCATGCATGCCATGGTACATGCACACATACATATACACACAAATAAATAACAAATGTAAAAAAAGTAACCAGGCACCTTACAGAAATGCAAAGACTCTGGCTAAACTCCATTACTCCCTCTGGACCTTCTAGACCTTTCTCTGTACTTCCTTGCAAAATCCAGTTTCTGCCAGAGATCCCTGAAACATCAGTTTAGCTGCAAGTCCCCATAATCCATATCCCATAATCCTTTAATCTCGATCTGGTTCCTCAACCTGCACCATCCCCCCCATGGTGTCTGATCATCCAGGCTATCTTCACAAGAATCCGGTTAGGTAAGTTTGGCAGAACCTCCCTCCCCGCTGGCGCTTCCTTTTAGTAACTTTCCATGCACTGACCCTTACCTAGCTCCTTGACTAGGAAAGCCTTGTTTGCTCACACTGCAGTGTGTGTTGAGACTAGTCTTTCTCCCACACTGCAAGGCCTTGGTGCTGTGGCTCCTGTGCTTACAGTGACAGTCCCGTTAAAGCCTTCCTTATGGTATCAAGTATCAGGGAACAGGTTTTTTCCTTTTTTCTTTTAGGATAGGGTCTCTTGTAGCTCAATCTGGTCTTGAATTCACTAGGTAGCCAAGGGTGACCTTGAACTTCTGATCCTCCTGCCTCCACCTCCCCAGTGCTGGTTTGTAGGGGTGGTTGTCAGTGCCCTGAAGCACCGCCCCTAGTGAGGCAGCAGGTAACTGCTAGGTACCAGCCCTCCCCACTGGGGCGTGGCCCAGATGGGGACCCCTTAAGACCTGGGACAATATATAAGTGCTTGCTCTCTTCGCTACCTCGTGGTCTTGGATGCTGGTGTGGATCAGGGCAGAGCTCTCCGGACAGCAGCGCCGGACCGTACCTCAATCCCTATTTTCTGAACTGTGAGCTTCCTGTATTGTGAGTTAATCCCCCAAGAAATTCCTATAATCATTAAGCCATTTCTGTAGACTGGTAGTGATTTAATTGCATTACTGGATCACCAGCATGTACTACTACCAGGCTCGGTTTATGCAGAGCTAGGGAATCGAACCCAGGTCTGTGTGCATGTTAGGTAGAACTCCACCAGCAGCTACATCCCCAGCCCCTAAGTTTTCTTTAACAGCATCAGTGCATAGGCCAGGAGACTCTGCCTCCACTATCTATCTGGAAGTGTTTCGAATAGATGTTCAAAGTGATCTTCCTAGTGTGTGAGGTCTGGGAGAAGAGCATAATTTAACGCCTGCTACACGAGAGCTTCAAAGGAGAGGAAGGCTTTTAAAACTCCTGACAGCCAGATGTGGTGGTGCACACCTTCAGACCTACCAGAGAAGACAGAGGCAGGCAGATCTCTGTGAGTTCAAGCCCAGCCTGCTCTACAGAGAGAGTTCCAGGCCAGCCAGCTCTGTTACACAGAGAAACTTTGTCTCGAAAAAACAAAATAAAACAAACAACAACAAAAAACCAACAACCTCCCGACAAAGCTAGGCAGGCTGGTACAAGCCTAGAATTCCAACTAGTTGGTAAACTGAGGCAGACATATTAGAAGTTTAAGACCAGACAATACAGAGTGTGTTCAAGGCCCGCCTGTGCAACATAATGAGGCCAATCTCAAGACAAAAAGTAGAAAGAGGGCTGGGGTACAGCTCCGTGGTACAGTGCTTGCCAAGCATGTGGAGGTTCTAAGTTCAATTCCCACTCCTAAGGGTAGAGAAGTGGGGTGCATGAGGGACACTGGGGTAGCTGAAACCAGCCTGCATGGGTGGAGGCTGGGTGGCAGTGAGAGAAGCCCCCATCAGCTCCCACTGATGAACCTCCCACTGCCCCTTATCAGCTCCTGGTTTTGCCTTGTGTTCAGGCTTCCCTGGGGATGGGGCTTCCCCGGCAAACAGCCTTCCATCCCTGTCTCCTGCTTTTGGACCTTTGACCCGGTCCCATGGCTCCTCAAGCTTCCTCCTGCATGTGTCTCAGCCTTGCATCCCTGTGGGCACGCATCAACCCTAGCTATCTGAGGATGATCCCGCACCTTAGCTTCTGCGGGAGTTTTCCCAGCCCCTCAGGCTTAGAGCACACCCCACCTTCTTCCCCGGGCCAACAACAGCAGGGGCACACCTGATACCCCATCCCTCAAGCGTCCATGACAGTCTATTCACTTCCATTCATTCGAGATCTGTGCTGGGGGCTCAGCACTGGGCAGGCTGCAGGAGGGGAGGCAAGAGAGGAAGAACAGTCTGCCTTGTGGCCTAGCTAGAGGGCTCAGGGAAGTGGGGAGCCATCACATCCAATGAAACCACAGACCAACTTCCGCCATGCAAGACAGTCACATAATCACAGACCAGCATTAGAAGGAGCGTTAGTGCTTAGATAGACCTCATAGCACATAGAACAGACACCTCTTCTAGGGCACCCTTGGTCGTCCTCGTCTTGAATGCTTCTGATGGTGGGGAACTCACCACTTCGCAGGCAGCCTCTTTTATATCTTCCAACTTTGGGAGTGGCAGGAATGCTGGGAACCAAACCCAAGGCCAGGGGGCACAGCTAGAAAACGCTCTACCACCGAGCTACACTATAGCCGGTCACCTCTGCTGAAGACTCCTTTTCCCGTACTAGGCCGCCGCGTGATGAGTTTTAGGGACTGGTTCTCTCCCTGAGGCTATCAAGCACCTTTGGAGCAGGAAGTAGTTTGCCTAAGGACCTTTGGGCACACTTGGTCCTGTCCAAAGGATGTGTTCAATTGCCTTGATTTGCTGAGCCTGTTATGGGACTAGATAAACCAGAGGGATAGCCTAGGATCTCAACATTGGGGGCACTAGTTAAACCAGAGGGATAGCCTAGGATCTCAACATTGGGGGCACTAGTTAAACCAGAGGGATAGCCTAGGATCTCAACATTGGGGGCACTAGTTAAACCAGAGGGATAGCCTAGGATCTCAATATTGGGGGCACTAGTTAAACCAGAGGGATAGCCTAGGATCTCAACATTGGGGGACTGCCTGGAGCTGCCTAAGGCAGAAAGGCAGAGGGCAAAGGGACCCATCAGACTGTCCTGGGTGGTGGGAGAGGATGTGTGCCCTGCTGGCTAATCCTTAGAGTATCTTTAAGGACACACTGGGGGATTACTCCTACCTTCAACATGCTTGACCTAATTGTGCACCAGTGACCCAGTACTGAGGAAAACCAGGGCCACTTTCGTCCCCCTTGGACTCTGATTCTCTTTTTTTTTTTTTTTTTTTTTTTTTGGTTTTTCAAGACAGGGTTTCTCTGTGTAGCTTTGCGCCTGTCCTGGAACTCACTTGGTAGCCCAGGCTGGCCTCGAACTCACAGAGATCCGCCTGGCTCTGCCTCCCGAGTGTTGGGATTAAAGGCGTGCGCCACCACCGCCTGGCCTGGACTCTGATTCTCAACAGGTCACTTCCCCTCACAGTCCCTATCTGTGCCGTTAACTGTGAACTGAAACAGCACCAACCCTAGGGAGGGAGTGACCTGTCCATTTGAGAAAGCACGGGACTTTCTGGACTGTGGCCCATGCTCCTTAGAAGTCGGGACAGCAGTGGCTCCGGACACCCAGGACAATGCTCTTTCCCCACACACCAAAGCAGATCCCACTCCCCACATCTCCGATTCTACCTTCATCTTTCTCCATACCGTTCCCCGGATGACCCTCGGCTGGGGGCTGTCTGAACGCCCCTCAAGTAGCTGGACCTACCCTGCTTCTTCCCAAGGCCCTCCAGCCCAGTTGTCTAGACCTAGGACAGTACTATCTTGGGGATAGGCACTGCCAGATCTGAATCCACCTCCTGACAGGCCTTTGGGGAATCTCTCAGGTCTGACAGCACCTCCTACAGACCAGGATGAGCCCAGACCTCCTGGCTCCTCCGCTGCAGCTGGAACACATCCCTGCAGCTGGAACACATCCCCAGCCTCTGCAGCTACAGAACTGCATCAGATAATGATCCAAGCCTGACTTATGCCTGGGGACATCATTCCTGACTGTTCCCAGACCCTAGCAGCCAGCCCTCCCTATCCACCCAAGAGGGTCCAGCTAGCCCATCTGTAGAAGCCCCAACCACATTTACCTCTCCACAGGCCTTCTCTTCTCAAACTCCTCTCAGGCCCCTCCACCCGAGCTTCTCACTTCCCTCTTCTCCACTGGCTTGTCCCACCCACCCGCCCCACCCAAGGGAAGGCTCAGTGCTCTGAGGTCCAAGGACTCAGGAGAGCAAGCCAAAGCTGTTCCTCAGCTACTGGGAGGCTGGGGTCCACCACAGTCTCATCACTGCGGCCTCAGGCAAGGCAAGTTCTGAACACTTTCGAGTCAGACCAACGAGGAAAGCCCCGTTCCACTCACCAGTCCGCGAGCAGGCGAGGGAAGCGCGTTCCACTGCCCAGACAGAAGCTGCACACCCCCTGCACACCCCTGTGGCTGCTTAGTCACATTTCCTGGGTTGGGTCACTGGCTCTGTACTTCTTTTTCCTCCTCCCCCTGACTAATTAGTCTCATCACCCTGAGTACATGTGATTTTTTTTTTTTTTTTTTTTTTTTTTTTTTTTTTTTTTGGTTTTTCGAGACAGGGTTTCTCTGTGTAGCTTTGCGCCTTTCCTGGAACTCACTTGGTAGCCCAGGCTGGCCTCGAACTCACAGAGATCCGCCTGGCTCTGCCTCCCGAGTGCTGGGATTAAAGGCGTGCGCCACCACCGCCCGGCACATGTGATTTTTTTTTTAATTTTTTTTCTTTTTTGAAGCGAAGTTCCAAGAGAGTGGTTTGGGGACCTGACACATTCTGGTTGGTTTGGAAGTGTGTATGTTTTCATTTTGATATTTCGTTTTATTTTTGAGATGTAGCCAAGGCTAGCCTCTAAATGACGACGCAGCTCAAGCTGGCCTTGAACTGATTCTCTTGTCTCCTGAGTGCTGGGATTACAGGTGTGCGCCACCATGCCCAGCTGTTTGTTTGGTTGTTGTCTGTTTGTCTATCTGTTGGTTTGTTACTGAGACGTCTTACTTTGGAGCCCAAGCTGTTATGAAAGTCAATATGTAGCCCAGGTTGGCCTCAAATTTATGAGGCCTGTCTCTGCTTCCTGAGCACTAGGATTCCCTGGACCAAAGTATCATGCCAGGTACCTTGACACATTTAAAGTGGTCTCTCAGTGCCCGGAATACTCAAAGACTATCCCCTCAGCTGGTCGTGGTGGCTCATGGCTTTGATCCCAGCATGCAGGAGGTAAAGGAGGTGGATCTCTGAGTTCAAGGCCAGCCAAAACTACGAATTGAGGTCCAGGACAGCCAGGACTACACAGAAAAAACGTCTCAAGAAACCAAAATAAATACATAAATAAATAATGAAAACATACACTACCTCTCAGTCTGCTGCTCATTTACCAAATGTCCACAGTCTCCCAGTCTGGGCACTGGAGATCTAGGAGACATCAATAGAAATTAGCGTGGCCAGCCAGCGGGATGCGGTGGCACACACCTGTAAAACCAGCATTTGTCAGGCAGAGACTGGAGAATCAGAAGTTTGGCTACATAGAGAGTTCAAAGCTGGACTGGAGAGATGGCTCAGAGGTTAAGAGCACTGGCTGCTGTTCCAAAGGTCCTGAGTTCAATTCCCAGCAACCACATGGTGGCTCACAATCATCTACAATAAGATCTGGTGCCCTTTTCTGGCATACATGCAGACAGAACACTATACATAAATAAATAAATTTAAAAAAAAAAGAGAGAGAGTTCAAAGGCAGCCCAGGGTATATAAGATCCTGGAATCCCTGTGGACCTCCTAAAAAATAAATAAATAAATAAGAAGCAAATAAGCATGATCAAGCCAGCCAGAATCACAGAACAAAACCATGTCTCAAAGAAAAAAGAACAGACAGAGGGCAGAAGGTTTCAGGCTGAACCCAAGGCAACCATCTCTCCTTTCACCCAGTCATGGAAAGATAGTACATACTCAATCCGGTCTAATTTGCTGGCTCCATGAAGGACCCTGGGTTACAGCTCGAAGTCACGAAGGAAGCAGGAGGCTGAGCCAAGGAGGCTGTGATTCCCTTTTGAGTCTCTAGAGCAGTGGTTCTCAACCTTCCCAATACTTCAGTCCTTTAATACAGCTCCTCATGTTGTGGTGACACACACACATCCACCGTAATTTTTTTTTGTTTTTTGTTTTTGGGTTTTTTGGGGGTTTTTTTTGAGACAAGGTTTCTCTGTGTAGTTTTGGAGCCTGTCCTGGATCTCGCTCTATAGACCACGCTGGCCTCGAACTCACAGAGATCTGCCTGGCTCTGCCTCCCGAGTGCTGGGACTAAAGGCGTGCGCCACCACTGCCTGGCCATAAAATTATTTTTGCTGTTACTTCATAACTGTAATTTTGCTACTGTTATGAATCGTAATGTAAGTTTGTCAAAGAAGTCGTGACCCACAGGTTGAGAACCATTTGCCCTAGAGGAAGGAAGAGCAGAATCTGTGTGAAGTCCTGGAGAGTAAGCACCCAGTGGGCAGCCACACTTGGGTGGCTCAGTGCCCAGGGACTCTGGCAGGCCTGTCCTGGAAGAGTGTTGGTCAACAGCCAGTTCCAGGTAGGACTCAGCATTCAGAGTCAAGGCTCTGGCCTTGATCATACAACAGGAGCAGAAGCAAGCCTTCCCAAGTATCCGACCACCAGACCAATCTAATGTAGGGCTGCTAGGGGGAAGCCTGGAGAAAACAGAGTACTGAGTGGATGTGGGGAGTTGGTATTTGCTTGTTTGTTTGAGACAGAGCCTCGATACATAGCCCAAGCTGGCCTCCAACTTTGGATCCTCCTGTCTCCATCTCTCCATCTTCTGAGTGCTGGGATTACAGATGTGCACCACTATGCCATCCAGATGTGTGGCTTCTGGGTGACAAATACCACCAGAACAAGAATGAAACGTTTTCTCTAGACTTTAAATGGAGTCAGTGGTATGGTTCAGTGGGTAAAAGCACTTGCTGATGACCAGAGTTCAATCCCCAGAACCTACCAAGTAAAAGGACAGAATGGGGGCTGTAGAGGTGGCTCGGTGGTTAAGAGGACTCAGTTTCCATTCCCAGCACCCACATGGAGGCTCACAACTATCTACAACTCCAGTCCCAGGGGATGCACTCTTCCGGTCACCTCAAGCACTAGGTACCCACAACTGTGTACAGACATACAGATAAAAATAAATAATAGTTTCAAGAAAAGAACACAGCTTATAGTTGGCACCTAGGGGTCTCCATGGCCAAATGACAGCCTTAAAAACAGGGTAGTCTGAGATGAGATCCCAGAACCACAGGCAGGGCAGAGACCTTGGCAGAAAGGTTAGGAGTGTGCCTTGAGGACTGGAGGTACAGTTCAGTTAGTAGAGTGTTCACACAGCGTCCATGAAGCCCTGAGATGGATCATAGCATGGGATAAAGATGATGACCAGGGAGACTGCTCAGCTGGGAAAGACACTCGGCCACCAAGCCTGAAGACCTGGGTCCGATTCCCAAGACCCACATGGTGGAAAGAGAGATCACACTCTAGAAGTTGGAGCAGTGAGACATGCCTACAGCCCCCAGCACTTGGAGGTAGAGGCCAGAAGATCAAAAGTTCAATCCTTGGCTACATACAAGTGTGTGTGTGTGTGTGTGTGTGTGTGTGTGTGTGTGTGTGTGTCACACTTTACAACTTACCAGCAGTACCTCCGTAGGTCAGATCCAACTTCTTGGAGCCTCCTCGTGTCCAATCTGTAAAGTGGGCACACAGATAAAAGTGAAGGTTAAACAAGATGCTACAATTAATGAGCAAATATTGAGTGTTCACTAAATCTGCACTCTTTTTTTAAAAAATTACATTTATTTATTTATTTATTCATTCATTTATTTAGGAGGTGGCATGTATATATTATGGCTTGAGGGTGTAGGTCAGAGGACACATTATAGGAGCTGGTTCTCTCTGTCAGTGACTGTAAACACTGCTGACATGATTTACTGGGGCCCTGGTAAAAGTGGCCAGCACCCACTGCAGCAATCTCCATCCCTTCCCAAGCTGAGTGGGAGGGCGCTGTGGAGAGAAAGCTAAGCCAGGGATCCCCTCCCGCTCACACCAACCCCCTCAGGGAATGCCCAGATCTATGGGTCTGGGCCGCACTAGTGCAGAACCCAGCTGGCTCTTAGACTGAGACCCTATGTACACTCCAGGGGACAAAGATGAATGAAAGTCACTGCTCACTACGCTGGAGCTAGGAGGCTCCTTTCACCACAGGAAGAAAAATATATTTTAAAAGGAAAAAAAAGAAAGGAAGAAACAAAGAAACAAAGAAAGAAAGTTGCAGGGGCTGGAGCTGTGGTTCAGTGGTTAAGAGCGCTCACAGCCCTTCCAAGAGGATCCGATTTCAGTTCCCAGCACCCACATCAGGCCCCTCACAAGCACCCGTAACTGCAGCTCCAAGGGATCCGCTGCCCTTCTAACTTGGACGCACAAACCCACACTCAGACAGAATACACATAACTTAATGACGTCGAAAGAAAGACTTGCTGAGTGTGGTTAATTAAAGTGTGGTGGTTCACACCCGTAATCCCAGCACTTGGAAGATTACAAGAGAATCGGAGGTTTGACGTCATCTTTGGCTTTATGGGAGTTTAAGGAAGTCTGGGCTACAGGAGACACCGTTTCAAAAAAAAACCAAACCAACGAAGTTATAACGGGAAAACAAGGAATTTGTTCTTTTTAAAACTCAGGTTGGTACCCCCACCCTCACCCCCACCCCACTTCTGTTCCGCCCTACCCCCCAGTTCCCTGCTTCAAGTTTGTCCCACATGATTGGGACAGTGCTTTGCCGGCTCCACCTGCCCAGTCTCGAAATCCAGCAGAGCTTTCGCCCCTAAGGAAGGTGTGGAGGTGATAGGTAGCCGGGCGCCCCGGGACCCACAGAGCCCCTGTGGACCCCAAAGTAGGAGCTTCGGGCCGCGGAGAACAGATCCCCGAGAGCGCGACTTACTTACCGAGGGGTTTGGTGGCTCTGGACACCGTCGTTTTGCCGGCGACCACGCCTCTACCCCCCTGGGAGAAGTGAGTCACCGTGAATGGCTAAGTGGCTGGAGCTGCCTGGTGCGATCCTGGGCCGGGGGCGCTTCCCTTCCCTTCCCTTCCAGCAACTGAGTCCTTAGAGACAGCACTGGGGGCCTGGTAGGGACCCCAGGGCCAGGAAAGCTGAGGTTCAGCATACTAGGGGAAAACTGAGGCCGAGGAGGGCAGCTTTCACTTCCCATTCAACCCATAGGTCCCTGGTCTCCATCAGGGTTCCCACCTCCGCAGTTCCCTGGAGCACCCACTTGGTGCCTTCAATGTGATCGCCGCCGGCCAGGGACGCAGCTCAGCTGATGGGGTGCTCGCCTAGCCTGCAGGGAGCCTTGGATCTGACCCCCAGCACCACAAACACCGGGCGGGCGTGGTAGTACATGCTTGTAATCCCAGCACTTGGAGGATCAGACACACACACACAAGGAAATAAATAAATGCAATTTTCCCCCCAAATGATCCTCCATCTTTACTTAGATGAATTCTCAGGAGGATTAGAGGGGAACCAGGATTGTAACTGGCCTGACCTGCATCAACGCAGCTCTCTCCCCTTTCTCTAATTCACAGCCAAACAGACCAGCCAGTGTCTACATCAGTCTCTGCCTGGGCTCCAGAACATGGCACACAAACCCACCCACAGACTCAGTCGACAAAACGGCCTTGTTTTCTGAGAAGCAACGTTGCCAAGGCCAAGCAGAATTGGAGTCTCTGAGGCCCACTGACTGGGTTTGAAATAATGCACACCCTGACTTTGTTCCTGGCCAGCTGGGCAACTCAAGCAATCGTATCCCACTGAGGTTAGACGGACCTTTCTGGACCCGCAGACAGCTGGCTCCGTGCCAGACCTTTTTTTTTTGAGACAGGGTCTCACGATGTCTGCCTGGAACATTCTATGTAAACCATGGAGATCAGCCTGCCCCTGCCCTCTGAGGACTAGGGTTACAGGCACACACCACTTAAGTTTTCTAGTTTTGACAGATGCAACACCCCTGTAACCCACATCCCTATCAAAACGCCAGACTCATTCACCACAGAAGGTTCTGTCACTGTGGCCGGTTTTTTTGTGTGTCCCTCCCTCACCAACCACACCGTTTGCACACGTGGGCCAGGAACCACGTCAAGTCTCCTCTGTAACGTCAGCACCCAGCATAGCACCCAGGAAGTAATAACACTGAAAAAAATTATAACTTTTGAGACAAATTTCTATATAGCTCAGGCTGACCCAAACTCCTGGTGCCTCGGTAGATGACCTTGAACTTCTGATCTTCCTGCTTCACCTCCAGAATCCTGGGGTTACAGGCTGGTATCACCATGCATCACCATGCAGCTCTGGCGGGTCTCTTTCATATATGCTAAGCAGGACCAACACCCAAAAAAACAAAGTTTACTGAATGTCTTAACAGATGAGATCAAAACTCCCGTGTTGCAGAACCGCCCCACTTGATAAACATTGGGACAGTCTGCTCCCTCGTAAAGTAAGGACAGAAACCCTGACACTTCTACCTAGGAGACTGCGACCCTGCGACCCTGAGCCACGGGAGGATCTGTTTTGTGGGTTAATTTGCTGTTGTTGGGTCTTTTTTTTTTCTTTTTTCTCTGAACAAGGGAATTTTGTTGGTTTTTTTGTTTGTTTGTTTGTTTTTTGTTTTTTCGAGACAGGGTTTCTCTGTGTAGTTCTGGTGCCTGTCCTGGATCTTACTCTGTAGACCAAGCTGGCCTACAGAGTGCTGGGGTGACAGTCTCTTCTCTAGATATTTTGGGAGAATATGTTTTAATTTTTACTTTGTGTGTATATGTGTGTTTATGTGTATGTTATACATGTTCATGTATGTGCAGGTGTGTGGGCGTGTGTGTATGGAGGCCAAAGGTCAATGCCAGGTATCTTCTATTACTCTGTAACTTATTTTTCAAAATTAGATTTTATTTATTTTATGTGTATGAGTGTTTTGCCTGTATGCATGCACAGACATACATGGTGCCTAAGGAGGTCAGAAGAGGACATCGGATCCCCTAGAACTGGAGTTACAGACACTATGAGCTGAGATGTGGGTGCTGGACACTGAACCCAGGTCCTCTGCAAGAGTCACAAATGCTCCTACCCACAGAGCCATCTCTCCCGTCTCCCCCTTAATTTTTGAGCCCCGGTATCGTGAGATGCGGTATTTACAGAACCTGGAGCTCGGCTGGCCAGCAAACTGCTAGGAACGACTGTCTCCACCTCTTCCCACAGCTCTGGAGTTACAAACATGGGCTGCTAAGCCCGCTGTTACGTGACTGCTAGGGATCGAAATCATGTTTTCACGTTTGTGCAACAAGCATTTTACCACTGAGCCACTGGGCACACTCCCCTGTTTCTGTCATGTTTGAAGCAGAGCGTCCTATAAGGTTGGCCTTGAACTCTCTATGTAGCCGAGAACGACCTTGAACTCTTGATGCTTCTACCTCGACCTCCCAAGTGCTGGGATTGCAGCTAGGGACCACCACTCCAGATTCCTTTTTTAATTTTTATGTTATGTGTATAGGTGTTTTATATGCACATATATCTGTGCACCACATGTGTACCCAGTGCCTGCGGAGGCCAGAAGAGGGCATCACATCCCCAAGGATTGGAGTCACAGACAGTTGTGAACTGCCGTGGGTGCTGGGACTCAAACCCGGGTCCTCTGCAAGAGCAGCCGGTGTTCTTAACTGCTGAGCATCCCTCCAGCCCCCTTTTGTGTAGTTTGATCTTTTGAAACAAGGTGTCGGACTGTGACTGTAGCCCAGACAGACCTCAGACTCACTGCAATCCTCCTGCCTCAGCCTCCCAAGTTCTAGGATTACAAACAGGAGCCACCATGCCCAGCCTGACCTGTGGCCCTCTCTGAGCCTTCGTTCCTCATCCGTGGCATGAAGGCTCTCCTGACTCCAATCCAGAGGTACAGTGCAGACTGTCTTTCCTCACTGAGGGCCTGACAGGGAAGACTGGAGTATCTAACAGCTCTAATATGAACTCTCCCCACATGGGGCTGGAGAGATTGCCTCAGTCAAGAAAACACTTGCTTTGGAAGCATGAGGACCTGAGTTCCATCTCAGAACCCACTTTTGGCTGTTTGTTTTTTTTTTTTTTTTTTTTTTTTTTTTTTTTTTTTTTAAAGATTTATTTATTTATTATGTATACAGCATGTATGACTGCAGGCCAGAAGAGGGCACCAGATCTCATCACAAGTGGTTGTGAGCCACCATGTGGTTGCTGGGAATTGAACTCAGGACCTCTGGAAGAGCAGTCAGTGCTCTTAACCTCTGAGCCATCTCTCCAGCCCCTGTTTGTTTTTTTTGAGGGGGGAGTGGTTTGGGTTTTTTTGTTGTTGTTGTTTTTGAGACAGGGTTTCTCTGTGTAGCCCTGGCTGTCCTGGTACTTGCTCTGTAGACCAGGCTGGCTTCGAACTCAGAGACCTGCCTGCCTCTGCCTCTTGAGTGCTGGGATTTAAGGAGTGTGCCACCACCGTGACTGGGCAGAACCCATGTTTTAAAAGCGTTCAGATATGGCACCTTGTAATCCCATTGATGCGGATGAGATGGACAAGCACAGGGAATCATTTAGCAAATTAGGACTCCTCACTGTTTGGGCTATGTGCACACCCCTCTTCTCTCACAATGTACTTGGAAGCCAGAGACCCTTACCTGCAGATAGTAAGTACCCCCCTTGCCAAACATTGTACCTGGCAACCTCTTGGCAACCTAGGACCCCTACCAGCATCAAGCTATATACATACCACACTCTGATTTGGGTGTGAACACCTCACATACCCTGTGCTTTACAGTTTATTAAATATCCTCAACCCCACACAAAACCATTTATTTGTTCCTCAAAGCAAACTGTGGGGACTAGGGAGATGGTTTATTCCATAAAGCGCTTACTGTACGAACATGATGAACCAAGCTCAATCCCCAGCGATCACATAAAAAGCTGGTGCCAGTGAGTGCCCACATCCCAGTGCTTGGGGAGAATACAAGGGTCTAGTGAACTGATGAGCTCATTTCAATAAGAAATCCTACCTGGAAAGGTGGATAAACAAAGAAGGAGAAGGAGAAGGAGAAGGAGAAGGAAGAAAAAGAAGGAGGAGGAGGAGGAGGAGGAGGAGGAGGAGGAGGAGGAGGAGGAGAAGAAGAAGACATTAATATGGCCTTCAAAAACGCATACAACACACACACACACACACACACACACACACACACACACACACACACGAATGTGTTCACACACACGAGTGTTAATTCCAAAGATGGGAAGAGAAAGACCACCAACCCAAATCACCATGGCCAAATTAATCAAAGTAAGCAATTAATTAAAGCAAGCTTTTTTATTCGTGTACACAGGCTGCCTCCCACTAAGGCAGGGTTCAAGAGGTCAGCATTGGACCTGAGGAAGACAAGGTCTTTATAGCTCAGGGGTAGGGAGTTTTCAAATGGGGGATTTGGCCAGCTAAATAGGTGGGGTTATAGGAGCAGAACATAAACGTAACAAGTTAGTCCTAACGACCTCCTGAAATGAAGACATGATTGCAAGGTGGTCCTAACAACAGGTAGTCAATCATAACAAGGTAGCCATAACAACGTTTTAGAAACAAAGGTTGCAAGATGGTTATTAACTTTTTCAAACAAAGACATGATTGCCATTTCCTGGAACAGGTAGTCCAGAACCATTTGTAGTTAAGCTCACAGGTGGGGCACAGCCTAATCCTTGAGAGACAGAGGTTTAATCATAAACAGGAATGAACCTAGTTTGTCTTTATTATAAGATGGCTTTTAAGCCTAAGATGGAGGCAGACTGGTTCTTCAAGAGCAATGTGTGTCTCACCAATTTCTTGGTGAGTAAAGCCTTTCTTGGTGAAGTAGTTAGCAAATTCATGAAATTAATATTTATCAATCAATCCTAAAAGATAATGAACTTGTGTATACAACCAGTCCTGGGCAGGATTGTTCATTATTTCGGGATACCATTATCACAGAACAGAAAAGACACAGTACCCTTGGCCTAATTCATTTTTGCCAGGCAGTATCTCCAGGATAAGCCTTACTGGAGAAGGGATAGACCCTGCCAGAGAATGCCCCTCCTACCGCTTCTCCCGCCTAGAGTCTGGTCCCTTAGTTTGCCCAGGATCACAAACAGGAAGGCCCCCACCGTTGCCCAGGGAGAAAAGCTGCAAACTACAAGTCCCAGCAGGCAGTGGGCTGCAGGGCAGGACCTATGCTGCCTCAACCAAACCCAGGTCGAGCCCCCCCCCCCCCCCCCCGGGTGAAGTCAGACAAACACACTACACACTCACGCACATGCGCCAGCCCCGATGCCACCAACTACAAATCCCAGCAGGTAGCGGGATGCTGGGTGGGGCCTAGAGCCCGTGTTTTCCTCCGGAAGTGGAGTCTGGCAGGTGTGGTGGCGATCCTTTCGGGGAGGGGAGGCTGGCTTCAGACTACAGACTGTTGGTGCAGGCTGTGATGGGTGCTGGCGGGGGCCGATAGGAGGCACACAGTGCGC